AAAACAGCTCTGGAGGCCGTTCACGGCGCTGCAGGAGCCGGCCGGCCCGTTTGTGGTGGAGACGCTGTCCCTCACCCCTCTGGTTCTGGTTCTGTTGGTGTGGGTCAGACAGCTCTTCATCTTCAATCTGCACCGAGGGTCTCTCTGGTACAGACAGACCTTTGTTTCTTCACTGCAGTAACTAGAACTGGACGAATCAAACTGAGGCCACGTTCACACGTCGCCGGTTTCACTAAACGGATCTACGTTCTCATAAATAACATCGTTCTCACCAGAACGTTCACAAGAACCCGTATGAACACGTGGTTAAGAGCTGCTATGAGCTGCCACACCTACAGGGGGCAGTGTAACGAGAACCATAAAGCCATGCTAGCCAATCAGACTGCTGGGAAAAACACAACAACGAATAGCACGAATCACTTCCTGTTAGCTCAGCATTGGACGACGGTCGTATGAAACCCGTTTCCAGTCTGACCCACTGAAGGTCGGAAAGAAGGCAGAAAGCAGCAAAGAAGAAAGAAGTGACAGAAGTTGTGTCACAAAGAAGAACTTAAAGCGACAGACTGGTGAGTGCGGCCCGACGGCACCGGAGCTGGTTCTGCAGGAGGTCAGAGTGATCCGAAGAAGACGTTCAGCTCTCCTCTGATACCGAGCCGCTGTCTGAGTCGGGTCAGCGTACAGGTTCTGCTCCTCCTCAGCACCAGGTGACGGGAGTCTGCCCTGGTTCGGGTTTCTGAGGTTCTGTCTGAGTCCCGTCAGGTGTGTTCTGCTGTGTCCAGCCTTGACCCGGCTCATCAGGGATCCATTCAGCCTCTGTGCTGACTCGGTTCTGTTTGTGTCGCTGATCCAGTCGTCTGGCGTTCTGAGTTCTGATGGGTTTGAAAAGCTGCAGCTGCTTAAATGTACATTTTTCTTTGGTGACAAAAATAAAATTAGAATTTTTCAGCCTGTTTTTTATTTTTTTAGTTTTGGGCTGAACTTCAGAGCTTCAGTGTGGACGCTGGTCCGAGGTGTTCATCTCCCATCGATCGGTTCTGTGACGGACCGGAGCTCAGCCTGGATCCAGATGAACATGGCTGGTCAAACGGACCTGCTGGTTTGTCCTGGTTCAGCTCGTGATGTTCTGCCTATATATATATGTATATATTAGTTTGTTTCTGTTCTATGTTGACTTTAAGCTCTTCAGGATTGAATGTTGGGTTTCTGTGTCCACTTGTCGATCTGATCCACGAGTCGACAACTAATCGATCAATAGTTCAAGTCTGGTTCAAGCGTTGAGCTGCCACTCCTAAAAAAATAATTTAAAAAACAAAAAATCAGATTCGTATCTTTTTGTACGGTGACAGATTCTGGTTCTAACCAGATACTGATCCGTTTTGGGTTTTTTCAGCGTTTCTGTACAAACTCACTCTTTCCACTCACAAAGCTGCTATTTTGTGTTTTGAAGTTTTTGCTCAACCTGTTAAAGATTTAAACGTGGGTGGAATCCTGCATGATGTCGTCCTCTCTGAGTCTAACCGGCCGGGATGAGTTTAGCTCGTCTGGTTCCTGTGAGGTTCCTGCAGTGACTTTGCTGCAGCACTGATCTTTACCTCCATTCTCTGTCTGTCTGTACACGAGGATATAACATCCGTCGTCCTCCGTCCGTCTCAGAGGAGCAGGGTTTCCTTTTGTCACCTCCTCTTCCTCACTTCCTTCCTCCTGGTTCTAATCTTACCTCTCCGTCACCTCCAGTCTCTCTCCTCTCACCGTCCTCCCACTCTTCCTTCTCCTCGCCATCTCGTCACCACGGCGCCTCTCTCCGGCTCAGCTGTATCTCTCTTTAGCAACAGCTCGAGGAACTGTGCCCTGGGCCTCCAAATGCTCCGCCGCCACCTCTTCCTTCCAATTTCTGTTCGCTCGCTGCCAAAAGCGTCTCCAGAAGCGACAGCTTAGCAGACTTAAAATACTTGTGTTTCCTCCTCATCTCTGTCTCACTTTCCCCCGTTCACTCACATACGTTACACTCAGTGACAGCGCTGGTGAACAAGAGGAACTCCAGCCAGCTCCAGTGTCGCCGCCATCAGATAAAAATAGTTTGTTTATTTGAAGCAGGAGAAAGATGGAGTCTGAGAGTCGCCCTCAGCAGAGTGTCATCACTCAGCTAAACTCGCTCTCTTTCTATTTTCTACTCGCGCCGGGACCAGAGCAGAGTCGAGGGAGAGAGGCTGCTTTATTACACTGCCGATGTCTTCCAAGAATTTCACAGAGTGACAAAGATCCTAGAATGTGTTTGTGGGCCGGAGGCTGAGAGTCTGGTGCTGACGGAGGCTGGAGTGATGCAGGGTGATGCTGGAGAGCAGCTCAGAGCAGCTCAGAGCAGCTCAGAGCATCGCCGCCGCCGTTACCAAACCTCTGCATCCGTTGTGCAACGGAGCAGGTGTGTTGTGGAGAAGGTGAAAGGACGAGTCTGAAGACAAACATGGAGGCAGCAGGAGGCTCTTGGAACACAAACACAACACAGATTTGTGCTGCATCCACTTCCTCTGTTTGTGTCGCTGCAGACAGGCGCTGATGCTGAGATCTGGACTCTGTGGGGGTCAGACGGCGCCGTTGGTGTTGTGCTGCAGAACGAACGGCTCAGATAAACCTCTGATGGTGTATGAACACAGAACACTGTCCTCATCCTACAGGAAAACCTCACAGTCACCTGCTCTTCATCTACACTCACCTCACTGCAGATGATTTTGCATGTTTCTGTGGCCGTCTGCTAATCTTTGTGGTCATGATTATTTTGCATCACTCTGAGGTGGTCTGGTGTCAGGTTCTAGCAGAACCCACATGTGTTCTTCCTCCTAAATGTCATGTGTCTATCTGCTGTACTGATGAAGTTCTGAGGCTCAGAAATGATGGAAAAAGTCCATTAAAGTGATCAATCTGGACCCTCCTCTGTGGACTTGAAGGACCTGGACCTCTGGAACATTCACAGTCTGAAGGTAGAACTCTGGTCAGTAGATGAAGTCGTATCTCTGATCCTACAGAACTGGTTCTTAATGATCTCTCAGCTCCTCGTCTGCTGTAAACGGACTTCTCTCTGATCTCTGATCTCTACCTTCAGCTCAGTAAACTGGTAATCTCTGCTCACAATTAAATGATTTCTGTCCTCTCTGAGTATTCACTGTCTGAACACTCGGCGTGCAGGATTGTGATGATCTTTGTGGTTCTGTCGGCGCTCCAGTTCTGGTTGTTCTGCTGCTGTTGGAGGGAATCAGCTCCGACACACAGTCACATGCATTCTGTAGCCAGAACACAACAGGCTTTGCTATGTTTACCAGCCCGAGCAGATCGATCTGAATGCAGGAAACTTTACTGTCATTGGTCACCATGGTCGTGACTCGACCAATCAGAAGCCGGCGTTGCCACAACACACCTGACAGCAGCACGGGGTTTAAAGACGGCCAGAAAACGGCTCGGTCAGCATCAGGAGCAGAGAGAGGAGCCGACAGGAACACCGGAGAGGAACAGAACCGACGGTGTGATGGAGAACAAATCCTGAGGTCATCACAGCAGGACTTCCACCGTGAACACGCATCATTTACAACATGTCCAGGTTGATTCAGGACGATACCACAACCTGTATAAGTAGTGCTCACACAGCTCAGGGTGATGGACGCTGATCCATCTCTGATCATCAGGATCCTTCTGCTCCACCGTCTCTCTGTGATCATCAGCTCTGGACATTTGGATTTTTATCTTCATGCATCAAATATTTTCCAACATAACGTATTTTTAAAAATCTGAACAATAAAATCTCAGAAACTGTTGAAGAGAAAAACCTGAAAGTTTCCCTTCAGTTCAGAACCTGAGATCCTGGACAGCAGATCCATAAGTTCTGATTATGGGGGAGACGGAAAAACCAACGAAGAGTCTCGTCTTCCAGCTCGCGTTAACGAATGAACCGATGAAGCAGAATCAAGTGGAGATGTTTCCTGAACCACATGCAGGTCTCAGTAACACAAACTAAGCATCAGAGTACCTTCATAAGAAACACCTGGTACCGTTAGAACCTCGTGACCCGTAAACCAAACTGCTCTGTTTTATTCCAAAGACTGAGGAAATAATATCCTCAATGACAAACCTTCAGTCATAATCTGATGTTCATACAAACCTCCAGACTTCAGCTTCACTCCAGCAGCTGTCAGAACGCTGAGCTGCTGACCAGGAAACATGCAAACACTGGTTTATTTAAACTGCTTTAAGTTCCTGGATCCTGGAGAAACGCTCTCATCCTGCCTGTACAGCACCATGACAACAAACTGATCACAGTCAGACTGGAGTGTTTCCTGGTCCTCATCCAGGTCTGGTCAGCCTCTGCTGGAGGCCTCTGCTGGAGGCCTCTGCTCTTTGACTTTTTAGTTTATGGAACGGACGTTTCACAACCAAGAGAACTCGATGACTGCAGTTAACGAAGACGTTGCATTAATCAGATATTTGTTTTGGATCCACAATCGTTGAAACTATGAAGCTACCTGATGTGTGCAGATTCTCAGCCATCTTTGAGTGTTTTAGCTTCATTTGACGGCAGATAAACAGGCAGCAGAACATCTGCAGCAACCACGTCGTGGCCCAGACGTCCACGCCTCTCAGCGCCGGCTCGGTTCTGGTGTTTCTGTCGTTGGTTTTGCTCGTTTAATCGCGGCTCCAGCAGGTGAGCGCTGGGCCAGACGTAGCTGCACCTCCAACACCTTCGAGCCGTCGCGTCCGCCCATCTGTGATCACAGCTCGGTGGCGACGGAGACGGCTTGTGCCCGACGCCGCGGTTGCATAACGGCGACTGATTCATCCTGCGGGACCTAAAACATGCAGCGATCGCCATGACGACAGATGGCCCGCGCATGAACGCCGCGCAGCGAATTATGTGAATATTTATCGAGGTGTGAGTTGTTGATGCTGTGAGTTATGTTTACCAGAGGACAGCTGGTGCTCTGAGAGGCACCACCAGGTCCGGTTCAGGTTCTTACCTTGTGTGAGGAGCTGCAGGGTCCGGACTTCCTCCCGGACGCGGAGCTGCAGGACCTGCTGCAGGATGTGCTGCCTCTGGCTCTCTTGCATGATGCCCATCCTCTCCAGCTTCCTGTCCGTCAGCCTCATCAGGGCCCGGCCTGGACCAGAACACAACTCAGTATTCACAGCTGGACACAGACAGACTAAAACAAACCGTCTCTCCTTATTATGTGACTGTCAGTTAGTCTGAAGTTTCCAATTAAGCCCAGCAATGTGCAGCAGACTGTTCTCTGCATAGAAATCAGAGGCAGAGAAATCCCCAGAGCAGGACTCCCTCACAGCTCTGTCCTTAATTGCAAATCCTTGTATAAAATCCATAATTTAATCATCCAATCGGGTTCTATGAGGGGATTTAGCTGCTGATAAAAGGCCTGAATGCTGCCTGTTGTGACGGTGAGCACATCCCATAATGATGCAGACTAATTACTGGGCAGCAGGTCGGCTCCTGAAAGACAACCAGCTCCGATTGGTCGGCGAGTCGGTCCTGACGGGCCGACGGAGGTCAGGCCGCTCTGTGAAAACTGTTAAAAATAAATCTGTAACTTTAAAACTATTTACTGTCACTCAACTTGATTTTTACAGTTTTAAACATTACAGCTAATAACTCGTAAAATTACCTAAAAAAGTGTTTATATATGTAGAAATAAATAAATACAGGACAAATCGGTAAATAGTGTTTAAAAAAATCTCCATTTCATAAATTGCTCTTCAACAACATTTAAACTGTTTCTTACTGTATTTAAATCTGATAAAAATAAAAATAAAAAAGGTGTTATTTGACAAATATCTGATGTCATTTGAAAGAAAAATTCTGTAAATTAAAGACCGAAAACTGTTAAATAACGTTTTTCCATTAAATTACAGACAATAGTTATTAAAATACAGAAAAAATAAATTAAAAAATAAACAAACTGTGAAAACATCATAAATGTGTTTTTGTTCCTTTATAATGTGTCCACAGATTAACTTTATTCAATCAGCTGCTAATGATTAGTTTACAGATTTCTGATATGATTTGAGTAAAAAATGACAGATTCAGGATGAATGTTGGTTCATCATTTTTTAAAAACTACAGATAATATCTGGTTTAATCATGGAAACGTGATCATTTACAGTTTAACTGTACAAAAGAGCAAATCTGTGTTTTGACTGTGAAATTATACGCCTTTGTTAAAAATAATATATCATAATATTTTTATCATAATAATGTTTTTTTTTACAGATAATTGTCAATATTTAGAAATATGTTTGTATTTCACAGATTTTCTCTGAATTGTGAAATTGTCGATAATCTCAGAAAATAATCATCAAAAATCTGTCGCTGCAAAAGTAAAATGTTTTTTTTACAATGTGCATCCATAAAATTACAGTTTTATTGTATTCAGATAACCTATAAATATCATTTTTCTATATAAACGTGCTGTTCTTTCCCTTATTCTACAGTTTCTTAGCGTTGCAGTGGGAGGTGACCCGGTCCGGTTCAGAGGCGGATCTAAAGTTCCCTCTCAAAGCAAGATCAACTTACATTCACTCACATTTCCATCAGTAAATCACCAACGTTACCACGGTAACTCAAAATGCCGTATAAAAATATAACAAAGACTGAAAACTGATGCTCTGAACAAACATACACCTCCACACCTGCAGTGTGGGCGGAGCCTCAACGAGCTCAGACTTCCCGGATACAGGATGCACTGGATGCTCCTCACACCAGGTCTGAGCGGCTGGAGGTCCTCAGTGCTGCAGACTCTCAGTGTTTTACTGACTTTATGCAGAACGTATGTCGTTCCTGCTCCTCTCTGTTCCTGTTTGACCTCCTGTCTCTGACTGTCGTTGGACCAACACCAGCTCAACGTGTTGCTTCGTGAGAGTCTTTCACAAACAGCAGCAGACGTTTGTGTCTCGTTTGGACCATCTATCCGACATATTTGGATCCTGCAGCACTCCACGATGCCACTGCTGCAAAACCAAAGGACCCTTCAGTGTTGTAACATCGACTGTGTCGGGCCAATTCATCGCTTTAACGACGGACGCTGCTCGCTGCAGACGGCGGTCAAACGCCAAACGCAGTGAACGAGTCAACGTCGAATCAACGGCAACGAGCTGAGTGGAGTCATGGAGGCTCAGGACGGAAACGCAAAGATCACCGGGGCGGAAACTGAATCAATCGGAGGCTGTGAAGTCGGAGAGGAGAGGCAGACGAACGACACAAGACAAAGCCACGTGCACGTGAGGCGGCGTGCACGTCAAGCCTGCTGTTATGAGTCTATAAATATTGACCGAGCATCACTTGGCAGCTGATCCTGAACCAAAGATAGATCGGCATGGCAACAGTTCTCTGCTTCAGCCCCAGCAGACAGAACAAAGACGTCCAGATGAACGTGGATCGTCTTCAGGATGATTTATTAAACGCACGCCGTCAAGAAATACAAAAAAATGTTAAAATCTGGCAGCGAGGGAGCAAAAACAAATACAGGAGAATATTCTGACCTTCAACAACTGTAAAAACTGAAAATAACATCAAGTATTTATGACATGATTTCTTTGCTGATATAAATCCAGTAAACGTGATTTCAGTCCAAAGAATGAGGTTCTGATTCTAGAGCAGTGACTGTATTAATGCTGTGAACAGCTGGTTATCAGCTCACTTCAATATAAACATTAAAACATCACTTATACAACGCTAACCATCATGATGCTGATTATCACAGCAGCTACACGTCCTCCTGTCAGCGCTACAAGAACAGACCTGAAGCTGAAACGTCTTCCTCAACAATCAGGGATGTCCAGATCTCCAGATGGAGTTGTGTTTTAAAGCCACTAACATAGAAACTGTGTCCACGCTGATCACAGTTTGTCTTGGAGCTCTGGTCAGAGGTCATTAGCGTCTCATACATCCCAGTCATGCTGCCTGTTGGTAGCACCACTGTGCTCCAGTGGGTAGCTAGCTCCTTCCACCCCACAGAAACCGGCTAAACATGACCATGTACAGTCTTGGGTGGATGAAACCCTTGAAACTACTGAGACAGAAAGCAGTATTTGGGGTAAAATAAACTTTCAAAACCATAAATTGCCAACTTTGGCCAATGCAGCAGATGGCATAGTTGCATGAAACAAGGCTCCTCTTGTTCTACAGAAACATGAACCTCCACAGAGGTCTTTGTCATGGTGTCCGCTGTTAGCTAGACCTTAATCCCATTAGCATTTTCATCATCATCCACCTCCATACGTGGAACTGCAGCCTGCTGTAACTTAAATACATCATGTTTCCTAAACGCTGTCCCAACGTCATCAACCTCTTCAGAAGTTCTTCTCATGATGCCTGTTGCTGCCAAACTCCCACAATGCTCTCTGCTGCCACCATGAACTGTAGTCTGAAGTCACGTTCACACGTAGTCACAATAACGGATCTATGTTCTCATAAATAACATCGTTCTCACCAGATCGTTCACACAAACCCGCATAAACACGTGGTTAAGAGCTGCTATGAGCTGCCAGACCTACAGGGGGCAGTGTAACGAGAAGCATCAAGCCATGCCAGCCAATCAGAGTCCTGGAAAAAAAACACAACGAATGGCACGAATCACTTCCTGTTACTGCAACGACAACGGACAAGGTTAGTTTGTCTGGACCGACGTAATAGAAGATTTCAGAATGTAAACACAAACAGGCCCAAAGCGTCGCACAAACGTAAAAACCAGCATCCATTTAACAAACTGCAAACATGGCCGCTGACTGTGACGTCAAACTCCGCCTCCTCCCGTCTACATGCTAACTAAAGACGTGTTTCAAAATCTTCACTTTGGCCGGAGATTTCAGAAATGATCGTTTTCAGTGTCTCGTACCTTCATTTACGTGTGAACCAAAGGCCCAGACATATCGCGATGTCACTGTTTTTAACCCTACATCTACCCTCTAACTCTACATCTACCCTCTGACTCTACATCTACCCTCTGACTCTACATCTACCCTCTGACTCTACATCTACCCTCTGACTCTACATTTACCCTCTAACTCTACATCTACCCTCT